TGTAACCTTGGCATTATCACAACAAAATGATATTAAGATTGCCGTGGTGGCTTATCTGATGAAAGTTGTTGCCTCTACAAGTTAATATCAAGTTTCTCGCTAGGCTGGTGCCTATTCATTAATGGGACATTCAGGAATACAGAGCATTAGCCGGATGTCTGTCCTGCAAAAGAAGCACTGTTAGAAAGGAGATGCTTTATACGTTTCTGAAGGGTCTTAAGCAGTGCTGAGCCATTAAAAACTGCGTAGGAAGGAAGGGGCTCTCCCTGGCTTCTCACGGCTGGAGAGCTCCCCGCTAACTCCACCTCTGCATAGCCAGCTTTGTGGTGCGTATGTACCACTGACTGCCATATTATTACTGTTGTCCTGGCCCAAAACCAAATTAAACCTTCTCTTGCTGTTTCTTTGTTCAGTTGCTTTCTCCGTTCAGATCCATGACCTGTCCAGTCGTGAGCGTCTCTAGCGAACGTGATCCCTGCTTCTATGGATCAAATGAACTTTCCAGTTCTCTTCTACACCCAGTTAACTAACATCAGTGCCCTTGCCCTGAGCTGCGTTCCCCGCTTGTGTTTATTCATTTGTACTTACTCCCCGTATTGATACTGCTTGCAGAAGCTCCAGTCAGACGTGCCTACCGACAGAGCAAAAAAGTCCCCCCAGATTTTACTATCCAGCTAGTGAACTTCCTCATAAGCAAAACTTTAACCTTCTTTCCTTAGTGAAAACAGGTTTATGACATTGCTCTGTCTCACTTGATGCATTTGCCTCTCAATCCCCTGGGAACTTTGAGCCTTTTGAAGAAATTCAACCAGATTTAATGGAAGAGTAGGGCCCTCAAAAATTTCTGTAGGTTTCAGGAAAATAAGAAGCCCAGAGGAGAGACGTCCCACAGGAGTCACTACTAAGAGAAAGGCTGCAGTAGGACATCCACCCAAACTGGATACCACCTGGGAGGAGAAATTACGAATGCCTCTCTCCCCAGGAAGAGCTTACATCCTATTTAGATACTAGAGAATCCAGCCCTGAGGAAACAAGGCCTCGCTAGTGTCATTGCCTGAGGAGCTACTTAATTAAAGGACAACAGAGTTATGAGTATTGTTACCTTTGTTCCTTGCACCTGGTCATTTACATTGATGCAAAATGCCATATTTCTGATCTGGTAGCGTTTTGCACCCACTTTATACAAGTAATCCTGGCCACTGAAAGGTCCAGAACAGGGAAGAAGCAGACCTTTATTGCGGAGGTAATTACAGCCTCCCTGAACTATCGGGTGGAGGGCGGACACCACAATTAGCCAGTGCTGCCACAAAGAGAACAAAGGCTGCTTTGGAAAGTGGGTGACACCCATGGCACATCCCCATGTCCAGCTTGACCACGCTTGGCTCTGCTCGCGGGCCACAGACATGCTGGGGAGGTCGTGGCCAGAACTACTTGGCAACCTACCGCATCTCTGAGTCTCCTGACACTTTTGCTGGTTTTAATCTAGTTTGACTTGGCAATATTGGTGAATGCCATGAGGTAGGGAGTCTAAAATGGGAAATGGTACTGTAAGTGATGAAATTAGCTCTCAGTTAAAATGCTAAAGGAGGTAGGGGGTAACTTTCAAAGCTTGCCTCAGCAACTAGCTTAATTCTGTTTTCAAAAGTCACAGTTGAGTGCTTTTGAAAATTTTATCCTAGATGCCTGGCTCAAAGACTTTAGCCAAAGACTCTTTTTCTCTATCCGCTAAATGAAAGCTAAATATAAACCCACGTTATTGAACAAAACCCTAACAAAACCCTTGTTGAAGGTCTAGAAAAATCCATCCTCAGAAAATCAGATGATTTGAGACCAACATCTAAAGTGTCCTTCAGTTTTGGGTGCTTCTTTGTTTTGCATACACATTTTGGCATACAAAAAAAAAATGTAATAGCAAATATTTGCCTTCTGTTCTTTTTTATCTTCTCCTATTTGTCTTTTGTCCTGCTGACCTCAGAAAATCAGAGTGTGAGTGTCTCTGGATGAGTAGCTAAAGTTCCCTTTGAAAATGTGGATTAGTCTGTTTTGTCCAGACCAGTATGTGCCAAGAGCGTCTTAATGACTTTTCCGCTGATTGACTGTGGGACCACAAGCAAGTCATAAAGCTATTTAGTGCCTCAGTTTACCCACTGTAACTTCATTAAGGTTAACCTACCTCACAAGATGTTGTAATGTTTAATATATTATGTGCTCTGTAATCCTCAGTTAAGTGTATTATGTAAGTGAAAAGCACCTATTTGATGTGTATGTAAATTCCTACAGTATTATAGGTGGGAGGGTCATTTGGGTGTAAGTGTAATATGAGACTTTGCAAAAGGCAAAAGGAATTCCATTGTATTGACTTATTTTTAAAGAGCTTTTTATTTACTGAAATGCTCTGGACACCCAGAAAGAGAGACATTCCTCACTAAGCATGTCTGCTGTTTCATCTGTCTTGAAGTGCTTTGATAAATGGATTGAAACTTGTCGGCTTTTCCTGTAG